AGACTTTTATATCTGGCGACGGCTAGGCAGTAATAGAAACAGATATAATATAGTTAAGGTGTGTTAAAGTAAAATACATTTAAGAAAAACGACTACCGTGTAGAAAAACTAGTATTTTTTTTATTTTTTTTTTTTTAATTTATCACTATTAGCATTTGTATAGTGAATTTAATTCGGCTAAACGAATAGCAAACCCGTCGTCGGCTGAAATATTTAAAGACACAAATAAGATAAATCGTCAGATTAATAACGAATTGTGAACGGCGCCGATAACACGCCGATTGAGGCGTAGTGTTGCCTTATGTGACGGTCATGGCCCATGACAATATAATAATTTAAGCCTGGCCCACACAATGACAGCCACGAAATTCACTACCGCGATAATAGACGATAGTCACTATTGTGAAAAAACCGCTGTCACACTTTCGAGCATCCATGACAGACGATAGCTACTTAAGAGAAATAAGAATAATAGTAACTATCACGGTGTGAACACTAAACGCATATACCTACTATCTGTAGTCTACTGTCACGACGGCACTTCTTGTACAAACGTTTTAATCTAAATTTAGATATTCTGTCGGAAGTCACTCCACTATCATGCTTTAAGCTATCGTCACGTGGATTTTGTCTTCGCGAAGATTAGAAGACTCCTGGTCTTCGAGGTTGCCTGTTGGAATAACCAATTGTCGTGACAGCAATTGTTATCGCGATAGCTACTCTCATTGTAAGGCCAAAGTAATACACAAAATATTTAGTATTTTAATATTAAAACGAATAATAATATCTTTAATATTTAATGACATTTTAAATGTTTAATATTATAATCTCTGGACGGTCTAGCCGCCATCGTGTTGTCGTTTGCTGCAGCTAACACAAAATATATTCTTATTTCCACGCGCACCGTAATCTTTGAATGAATTTTTAATACCTACCGTTTTTTTTTTCCAATCATTGATCACAAAATACCGCATGTTTTTAAATCAACGATAATATTATTACATTATAATAGTAATGGGACACGGGCCGGGAGACGGAATCGTGTTATTGTGTAACAAAACGGTATATTATTCGAACGTAATAGTATAATGTCAGGAAAAATATTTATTTTTTTATTCTAGGTTAGGTATACATACAAAGAACAAAAAAAAAAAAGTGAGTACATCACGCGCATTGCCCCGAGGGGCATATTGAATTTCGATTATGTCGCATTGTTGTATTATTATGAATTATTATTCATATTTTAATAATAATCTATACCCAGACTATCCCAAAAAAAATTCCATGAGCGGTGATACGTCAGAAACGAAAATGTAAAATTAATAATTTTACTGAAGACATTCACAATAATAACAGTAATATTATGGTACGATTCTTACGCTCACATACAAGCCCTTGGTCCCTGATTACCTAATTCACGGACCCACTATACAATTTAAAATTACGGGCCTCTGATTGATTATCTATATGTTCTTTAATTTTAAAATAAAATGTAAGCATAACATATTATGTTAAATAGTGTCGTATTTTTGGCTGAGTGGTTGAATCATAAGATAAAATCGTATTTTATTTTATTTAGACGGACAAACCCAAAAAGACGTCCTAGGATAATAGAGACGGGTGTAGCCACTGTTATAGACAATTTAATGTATACCTGTAAGCAACGATAAACCTTCAAAATCGCTTAAGAAAAAACGATTCTGAGCGGAGTTTAATTGACAATCGATTTTACCGGAAATGAAATTAGAGAGAAAAATCAGGAGGTTAAAAAAGTTTCAGCGTTCAGATAGAATAGATAAGCATAATTCCAGGAGAATAGGGAAATAATCATGAGAGTGGGGAATATGGAATCGGGAGGGGACTAAAGCGAGAAACTTACGTTGGATACGCTCAATCATCATACTGCCGCAAGATGTGAAAGGGTCCCAAAGTACGTATCCGTATTCCAGGATAGGGCGTACAAGAGAGCAAAAGATAGATTTGAAGGGAGAAAGAAGACGGAATTGTTGAAAGGAACGGTTGATGAACTATTAAAAAACTAATTAAACATTATGCAATTTTTTTTAAGTAGCTACGCATAATAACATAGTTAATATTCATAGTAAGTTACTATTACTTTAAAAAGTAAACTTTTTTTTTTTTTTTTTTAACAATTGTTCATAGGTAAAAAGTATTTTAACCATAGCTGTACTCGAGAAAAGAGTTCAACCCCCCCAAAAACAAAAATAAATTGGTTTGTATTATATTAGTTATCAATTACCTATACAATATATTATTATAATAAAATTAAACATATTTTTAGTTTTCGAATCCCCCCAAATTGTTTCAGAGTCACGGTCTTGATTATAACATTTATAATTTACTAAAATAGCCATGTAAAATCCAAATACATCATCGCACACGAGTTTTAGTCAGTGATTTTCGTGGCTCGTGTAGTACCCAGTACTTATATAGTATGGCATATGTCTATGTGTTAGGAATGAATTTAACGTTCATTACAAATTTTTCATATCTTATTTTTGTTAATCAGAACCATATTAGATTATGTCTCTTAAAAATTACGATAGATCCACTAATAGATAGAACAACTGATACAGCGATAGAACAACTCATTGCGTTTGCTGTCGGCGGGCCCAGTGATGAACGGATGTCCTAAATTTTTCGGTCCTCGCATAAATATGGTCCCGTGCCGTATGCAGTGTTCTTTGTAACCGCGTGACAAAATGCGATACGCCTCATCTAAGGAACCTCTATACTCCCTCCTCCTCCTCCTTGCGAAATTTACGACGCCATCGCCGCGGATTTCATTAAATCGTTTCGATTAAAACATCGCAATCCAAGAAACAAGTCCCGAAATAACGTAATCTCGCTTAATATTATTTCTATTAATTAAAATTCTACTTGCGTTTGTAATACTCGCGGTATTATACAGGACATCGTAAATTCTCGCCGCCGCCGCCGTCACCTATATGCGTATATTATACGAATAGGTACGAAAAAAATAATAAAATATTTTAACCATTGGCGTGCGCAAACTCCGGTTTCAGGGGCAGCAAGAGATTAATTCTGCCCATTCTCCAAATTCACCATTAAACCGGCCCGTAGTTTTACTATTTTTACTAGCAGGTATCAAAATCCAAATTCTCTTGGTTATTTGTTTATTTTTGGATAAAAAGTTTTACAATAAGGTACTAAGGTGTACTTTTCCATAAGCCATTCAATGGTTAATATTTATTATTTATAATATAATAAAATAAACAAACATTAAGAACAGTATAAAATATATATTTTAAAAATAATTATATTCTCAATTTGTAGGTACAAAACTGAAGAAGTTTATTTAAAAAAAAAAAAAAAAAATCATATAGGAACATATTTAAAGTCGTAAACGAAACAATCAAAGCTCTTATTAATATTCATACGGTATTTTATTACATATTGGTAGCTCCAGTTAGCAACACGGATTAAGATATATTAATTCGTGGTTAGCAGTAACAACCGCAGATATGTTTTGTAAAAACTAAATAGCCGACAACGTTTACAAATTCTTTCGTTGCCAGACAATATTTAATGTTGACGTAGTTCGTGGTTGTAAATTTATCTGCGATAAGCACGTCATAAAAATGATAACACGATGTATACATTGCCGAAGTGACAAATGGCGGTGGACATCATAATGATAAAGATACATTGTTGTGTATGAAGTCGGCATCCAGTTTTTATTTATATTTATCTGTGGTAACAACTGTTAAAATCGATCAATTATCAATCTATAACCTTAGGTAATTATATCCAGGGGCGGACTGGCCCGAGTGGCTGGCCGGCAATTGCCGCTTTTCCCGTCCATTTTTTTTTCAATCGGTTATTGTGAGAGGGGTACACATATGTAGAGAAAAATGTTCGCATAAGATGTTAGATATTCTAAGAATTTTAATGTATCACACATTCATATGCGATTAATAGTTTCATAGTTATAGTGACTGTAATTTTCAGAAAATAGGTAAGAAAAAACAATTTATATTTAATTGAAGATAAGGAACTACCATGCTGATTGTGATTCCTTATTGCGTTATAACATGTTATTTTATTGAAAATTAATTGTTTTCATGACAATTTTCTAGAAATTCAAACGGCTAATACTAAGAAATTATCGATCAGATATGAATGTATGTTCCATTAACCCTTAAGTAGGCACGTGTCTTTTTATTAACATTCATAGTTTCGTAGGGGTCAATCAGACCCCATTAATAAAAATATGTAAAATATGATTATAGCAAATACATTTTGTTTAAATTCAGACGTGTTTATGGATTACCAAAGGATATTTAAATACGGAAAAAAATGTAATAATAAAAATATAAACACAAAATTTGGCTATTTTGAAAATTGATAAAATACAAAGTTAGTTATTTTTCAATAATTAAAGGATGAAAATAAAAATTTAATTCTTCTCTACATAATATGTGTCCCCCTTGTACAAAACCTGATTGAAAAAAAAAATAACTTTATTTTGTCACTTTTAGGGATAACACTGTAGGATATCCTGTTTACTAATAACTTTAATATCTATCTTCTTTATTATTGTCATTGTAATATATTGTAATATAATATTTATTGAAAATTAAACAAAGTAACATTTTATTTTAACTATTATCTCTTTCAAAATATGTATGCATTTAACTAATAGTATGACCATTTTGTTAAATTGTTAAAACATCAAAAGTACTGAAAAGCCATTAGGGGACATGTTTTCTTATTGTACCACACCCCTAATAGACACCCATGTCACATGATCAAATGTGTCTATATCAGTGGTTCTCAACCATTTTTTATTCATTCTTTTCACCTTTAGTTACAAGAATCAAACACTGCATCACCCTAACGGCCCAATAACAAAATAATACATAATCTTAACTATATATTTTAGAATTATTCTTTTATTAAAAAACAAAATACATTAGGCAGAAAAATAATAAGTAGATATAAACAATGTTTGAGTTGCTGAGTTCAATAAATGTTGACACTTTAAAGTTTAAACTTTAAATTGGCGAATAAAAAGAGCAAAAATAATAATTTGTATAAATTTAATGGGAAATTTGATTCTAGTGGTTTCTACAAAGTTGGGGAATTCGAGGGTTGATGGTGGAAAGAGCGAGTCTCATATTGTCTTCTAGAGTTGTTTTTAGAGTCTTTGGCGTTTTTTTGTTTTAATATTTGTGAGTGCACTAAATCCATGTTCTCGTAACCAGGATGTAGAAAACTGAAGGTGCACTTCAACAGCCTTGGTTGATAATCAACTGTATTCATTGTAAAAGGCCATCCAAAAGCTGTTGAGCGAGACTTCTTTAAATTTAAGTTGGAGGGTTCAGTTATTATTCAGTTCCATAGCTTCCTGTTGTACCTCATAGTGATCTGTTTGTATCATAGAAATAAAATGGTTTTGAATCTAGTCGTACTGTTCTACATCTGGGTCCATGTCACCCTGGTTGAGAACCACTGGTCTATATTATAAATAGAAATAGACAAATGTATCCAAATAAAAAATGTGTTATATTACATATTAACATATTAAATACATTAAACTCGAGATTAATAGATATAAATTGATACATTCTTATACATATAAATAAATAAATAAATAAATAAATAATGATTGATTTATTATTTTAACAAAGATTCAATTTCATTAAACTATGTGATATTAAATATACACTCAAAAAAAAAAAACTCAAAATAACAAATTAAATACAAAATATATTTTATCTAGCCTACTTGTTTAGTTAAAGGAAACCAAAAAAAATTGTAAATTTTAAAAAATTATTTACGTATAGATTATTTAATTATTTAAGACAGTTATTAGAAATTATCTGTATGATATCGTAACACAAGTTAAATGTGATAAATGTGATAATAATATTTAGTAGTATTCTTGTTTACTAAACACAAATTTTACAATTATGAGTAATTAGTATTAAAATTATTAAATTAATGATGATTTTACAAAGATAAAAAAGATAACGTATAAATATAAAAAAAAAATCAACAAATTTTTACTATTTCATTAGAATAGAAAAGTATTATTAACCATTTTGATAACTTTTTATTTACTTTATTATTTTATTAGAGAATTATTGTCAAATTGCTTAAACTCTGCTTTCAACACATCACCTTTTTCCCTTAGCATTCTTGATACTTAGTCGACATAAATAGTATTTTAAATTAATCATATATACTCTAATTAAAACTACTATTTATGAGGACTAAAATATCAGTCATTAGAAGAAGTGATTGATTGGTCTGAACTTAATGACTGCGATTTTCGATTTCATCAATTTTAAAACAAGATGAAAATATTAAAATTTTTTTAGATTGGATCTAAAATAAGAAATTGAAACATTAACACATATTAATTTTTCTTCACAAATAACTTTACCATTAATTATTTCATCTTCATCATCTACATGTACAAAATCTGACTGCGATTTTCTATTTCATCCAATTATACATTTTTTTTTTGTTCTTGGCTTCTATTATCAATTATGTCCATAATTTTCAACATGTCCCTAAAAAAATATTTACAAATATTTTAATTTCCGCGAGTATAATAAGTTATATTACAATATGTGTTATCTTAACAAACTTGTTAAAATAAAATCTGTTTAAAAACACAATATTTATAATTATTATTAATATAATTAACATTAATATGGTAACAAAGACGATAAAAGATACAAATTATTAAAATTCTAGAGATATTTAAATAACTACACTTAATTAAACATTTTCTTTATGGGAAAGTATCCAAAAACTTTGTCTTGATTGCTGACTTTGAACAATAGCATAACTAGGGGGGGGGCTGGTCTGCCCAGGCCTCACACTCGTGGGGGGCCTTTAAAAATCCCTCAAATTTTTTTTTTTTTTTTGGTTTGGAGGCCCCTATGACAATATAAAAATAATGCTGGTATTCCATACAAAATAGTATAATAATATTATAATATTTTGACATGGATAGTCTGTTGAATGTTGTGTTTAATGCATTAGTGTTTTAATGACAACTGATAATAATTATCCTGGGAATTATTAGAATTTATAAATAAAGTTCATAACTTTGTAATATTGTTTATTATAAAGACGAAATGATTTAGTAGATGAAGCTGTTAAAATGTCTGCAATTAAATGTCAACAAATGGGAATTTCACTGGTACAAAGGGGATGGATAAATGTAAAAAGGTCATGCCTGGAGAACAATCAAGATATGGATTGCCATTAGAAAAAGAAACAAAACAATAAACGCTTCAATGCATTAATAAATTACATCAAGAGCTAGAAGTAACAATGAGATCAATGGTGTTTTTAAAATATTCACTATTGGTCAGCAATTGCATCTACTTAATGATAATGATGAGCACTTGTGTAATTTTTTTTGTTTTAAACTTCTGCAAAACTTACGAAAAGTTTAATAAGGAAGAAACAATGACTGAAATAAAAAAAAGCAGCTGGGGTTCCCAAAGAAGAATCGTAGGAGTGGAAATCAATAAGAGTCTTACAGTTCATCGTCAAAATAGACTTCACTGAATCTGTTCCTAATTTGTATATAGTACTGAAACTTTTTTTGACAGTGCATTTTTCTGTGTATTTTAATGAAGGAAGTTTTTCAAAACTTAAACTGATAAAAACGTATTTAAGATCAACAATGTACCAAGGCTTAATAGCTTGGCTATTTTATCAGTGAAAAAGAAAGCATCAAAAAAGGTGGATTTTGATGCAATTATAAAGGAATTTATTGAAGCTTAAGTGTGCAAGCAGAAAATGGATCATTTGTGTGAAAAGTTCATGATTTCTTTTTTAAATTGTTACCTAAATACAACTTCACTCTTTTGTGGCTTGTAAATTGTTTATAATTTAATTAATTAATTTCACCACCAATTTTTTTTTTTTATGATTTATTACTGTCTGGAAAGGGCCTCTCAAATTATTTCCGCACTGAGGATGTGTAGTAACACCACTGAAATTGAGATACATTCTTCAAATGTACATTCAAATTTTTCAAATTCCTTATATTTTGTTAAAAACCCACCCTTCAGTGAATGCTCCACTGTTTGCTGAAGAAGCTTCAACAAATATATTATTTATTGCCGTTTTTGTTCATGAGGTTGTAAAACTTTAGCAGAAATAAAAAATATATGTATAAAAGCCTCTTAGTTAATTAAACTTTCAATTCCTTCTCTAGAAAATCTGTAGTACACCTCATGTGATTCTTATATAACTAACAAAAACACAATGTGTATGTTAAACTTTTACATATTATTTATTTACATCAACTTACATAGGTTTATTTATTATTGAAAGCACATTTTTATTGTAAATACCAAGAACTCTAAAAAATTGTACACTGTATATGTATAAGTAATTTTTATAATTACCTTCTTTACATTTAGACGATTCGGCTACATAAGAAAATATGAAAATAAATTGTTGATTTGCTTTTTTTACTTTTCTAAAAGTCTACAACGGAGAAGAAATTATTTCATCATTGGAAAACTATGAAAAATACAAAACCCAAATGATACCTGGAAAAAAAGAAAAAACAGCGAGTCTAAGTATTATTTTTCAAATACGGTATGTTTAAAAAATAAAAATAATAAAAACTTAATAATTACAAAAAATACAACATATTAAAATATATTATAAGACACAATCATATTTAACCTAAAGAATCAATTATTCATTATTATCTAGAATATATAGGGTAATTTAAAAAAAATTATCTCTTCATTGTACCAACTAGGGCCAAAATGCAAAAAAGTCGCTTGTCATTTTTTGATTGTTGCAAGATTTATAAAAGAAATTTGTTTCAAGGTTAAAAAAAATATACATATAAGCACACATAATAGAAAAGCCAATATATTCCTCGAGTTTAGAATCTAAAATAAACACACAACATAGTATAAAACCAATACATTCCTGTTTCACTCAGAATCTAAAATAGCTATAATCCTCCCTCAATAATTACAGTTCATATAGGGGGGGGGCTGTATCTCAAGAATGTGATTCTATAGTTTTGTATTAATAAATTATAGTCAGACAGATACACAGACAGGCATTCTTTTTCATATACAAGATAAGTTAATGTTAACATCAATTAATCCCAAATATTAGGCTGTATTTCTATTTGATCTAATAATGTTAAATGAAAGGATTCTAAATAATTATTGGTGCAAACATCAAACCTAAAAACATATAAAACATTAACTTAATTATATTATATTTATATTTGTATTCTTAGTAAGTATACTCATTATCTCGGAAAATGTTTAAATTTTCCGGAATTTGTTTTTTAGAACATTTAAGAAACAAGCAACTCAACAAAATTTTATATTTATGTTATTTTTTGTTACCCTTATTTTTGGGGGTAAAACCACTGCCTAATTTTGATTTTCAAATAGTAACCTATATTAAAAATTCCATAAATAGATGGAGTATTAGTTGAAAAAAATATGTGTATTGAAATTGTTGATTTGTTAACAAGATATTTCCCTTTTAAGTTTGGGTTGGAGGAGAGTAGTGGTGCCACTTATATAAATTGTATAAATACTTTATAAATATAAAATTGTAGAGAAACTTGTTTCTTAAATGTTCTAGAAAACAAACTCCGGACAAATTTAATACTTTCAGAGATAAAGTATACTTGAGTGTACTTGAAATGAGTGTACTCACTTAAATGAATCACCTGAAATTTGAATTACTTCATTCAAGTTTCGAGGATTATCTGAACGAAGGCGATGACGCATACTTTTAACACAGGGCTATGATAAGAGAAAAGTATAATTTGCTGCTCCTTCTGGATTTCTAAAAACACTAAAATATACAATTTATATAAAAAGTAGTATTAATTATATATTGTGGTGAATTTATTTGATATAGCCAAACCAATAGTCCTTCTAAGATTAACCATTGGGATATCTATTGCTGGATAAATCTGATTTTCATTTGCCGTTACCCATGCGATCACTATAGTTTTTTTTTCATTTTGGTTCTGCATATATCTAAACAATTCAAAATGATTAATAATTGCTAAGAAACAAATGTTTATGCACTAAAATACAAAAAATATACATGCATTTAATTAATGTGCTTTTAAGTATAAAAATATGCATAGCATTTAACCAAAATATACATTAATAAAAATTAAGAAAAACTTAATTTATTTATAAGCACATTATTTGATTTATTAATTATTATTTAATTAAATTTTTATTTGTTGTCAATCTAAAACAAACCAATGCATGTAAAAATGCAATGTTAAATAGGTATGCAGTTAACAAACGATAAATATAAAAATATGATCATACAAGTGAAAAATGAACAAATATGTAAAATTAAATTGATAATTTTATTAGTTAGTTCAATAATAAATAAATTTATATCTCACTCTGTACTAATTTAGATTCTATAAAACAAATATGATATACACATAAACATACACCATCTAATAATTAGTATGTTATTAAGAACAAAAAAACAATAGACTCACATTTAATATTTTGACTACGGCTGTTTTAATATTTGAAATCTAAATTATCCATATATATATGTATTAAACCTGACACTGGGTAATATTACATATATTGCTGGCCTCTCATTTACAGGAACTAGAATTTAAATTTTTCAATCATTGAAATTTTATACAAAAAAATATAATTGATATTAATTATTATATAACTATTAAATATTTTGTCTTCGTCTTCTATTTCTAAAAAAAAAATTGAATCTAAAAAACTAGAAATTAAAAAATATTAAAATTTGTTAACAAATAACTTTACCATTAATTATTTCGTTTTCATCATCTACATGTACAAAATCAATGGCATCTGCAAATATTAATTAACACATTATTATCATATATGTTATACTATATACGTATACTTACATACATGCTAGAGCATGATTGTGGTCCATGGTAAAATCAAATACTATAGACGTATAGCAATAAAGTAGGTAAATATTAAATGGTGCGATTTAAAATTAACGAACAAATTATAAAATAAAAAAAAATAGTCATAGATATAATAATAAATTAGCAGTTAATAGAAACCTAGTTCATCTATCTAGTTCAGTGATAGTTAACTATCACTTAAATGTATCAAAATAAAAATTGTTATAATACATATAAAAAACATTAAACTCGAGGTTAATAGATTAGATTGTTACATTCTTATATATATAAATAAATAATGGTTGATTTATTATTTTAACTAAGATTCAATTTCATTAAACTATGCGATATTAAATATACACACTCAAAATAACAAATTAAATACATTTATCTAATCTACTTGTTTAGTTGAAGGAAACCATAAAAAATTGTAAATTTTAAAAAATTATTTAATTATTTAAGACAGTTATTAGAAATTATCTGTATGATATCGTAACACAAGTTAAATGTGATAAATGTGATAATAATATTTAGTAGTATTCTTGTTTACTAAACACAAATTTTACAATTATGAGTAATTAGTATTAAAATTATTAANATTAACCATTTTGATAATTTTTTATTTACTTTATTATTTTATTAGAGAATTATTGTCAAATTGCTTAAACTCTGCTTTCAACACATCACCTTTTTCCCTTAGCATTCTTGATACTTAGTCGACATAAATAGTATTTTAAATTAATCATATATACTCTAATTAAAAATACTATTTATGAGGACTAAAATATCGGTCATTAGAAGAAGTGATGAAGAACATTAACACATATTAATTTTTCTTCACAAATAACTTTACCATTAATTATTTCGTCTTCATCATCTACGTATACAAAATCCATGGCATCTGCAAATATTAATTAACACATTATTTTCTTTTACATTATACTATATTTGTATATTTACATACATGCTAGAGCATGATTGTGGTCCATGGTAAAATCAAATACTATAAACGTATAGCAATAAGTAGGTAAATATTAAATGGTGCGATTTAAAATTAACGAACAAAATATAAAATAAAAAGATATCACCACTCATATCACTCAATCACATCACTACTCCCCTTACAGTTTTCTTTTTCTCGAAGAAAAGAATTCGATTTCAATATTGAATATTTTTGACGAAACTATTATAAAAGAATTAATGACAAAACCTTAAATAATTTCGAATTTTAAAAACAAAAAATTTTGAATTGAAAAGAAACCCAGATTTGTTCTGCAAAAACGCACGAGCAGAAAAACTTTTTTGTAGTCAATTATATTCTTATAATATACACACATATATATATATGCAATGTTTATTATAATATACTGATTGTGCAACGTACGCTGCTGCACAAGAAGCCGATGCGGAACGTGTGACCCGTCGCTGGAATGCAGCAGGAGTAATAGGAATAGTGGAGTGGTTAGAAAAAACAAACAAAATTTATCGGGGAGATGTACCGGGGTAGGTATCGCATGAAAAGAAGGTACTCGTAATGAACAATAAATAACAGCTAATTCGATGGGTAACAGTACCAGCAATAGATGATTATATTTACAATGCTGTAAACAATGTTGAATGCGTGATAACGCGTGTACGACTTGATAAGCGGTGAAACCATGGTCGCGGTGATAGGAGCTGGTCGATACCGGTTGCGGTGCGGAGACCCGGCGAGATGCGGTGGCGTAACGGAACGCGCGTGCGGGCGTGCGATGCACCTATGGCCGTAATGAACGGCGGAAAACTGGAGATCACGACGTAATAATATATAAAGGGCGTCGGCCACGGACGAAAGCGTGAAAGAAATACTCGTTATTAACCGTCACAACGAAAACGGACGAAACAATAAAAACAATCGGTAACCGGCGGCGTAACGGCTCGTCAAACGGGCCGAACACGTGCGGTGGCGTTTGAGCACAACGAAAACCAGCGGACAGGGCGCTTGGGGTAACGTGACGGCCGGCTCAAGCGGCGGAACGTTCTGCACCACGAGTGGGTACATAGATTTCGAACGAACGAACAAACTGCAACGTAAATACGGCGGCCAGCGGTGTACCGGTGCGGCAGAACCGGTCGACCACGTGAAGCGGTGCGGCGTTCGCGCACGGAGTAAACGGACACGCGGTTTCGCGTCGCGTCTGACGAATGCCCGTTTTGCGGCAGGGCGCGACAGGGCTGGGCTGGGCTGGGCTGAGCAAAGGTTCCGAGATTCAACGGCACGTTTATCGCGATGGCGTGTCGGGTTTATGGCGACGGCCATCATGGCGAACGCAAAAACTCCGCGGACTGGTAATGCACAAACGACGACCGCGAACGAACATATGAAAAGCAATATCGCGAGAAGTGGAGCGGAGGTTCGGCGGCGGCGAGACCCCGCCGACCACCTGCCCGAGGCGCGAAAGGTACTGCGACGGCGTTTAGATTTGACCCGCTGGAGAGACCGCGCCGGCGGGAAATTTAAACTTAAAAGCGTACCCAATACTGATTATTGGCTGTGGAACGTTAAAGGTATAAATAAATAGCGAAAAGTGTCAAAACATTGAATTTTACAATCGACAATAAACGTTTAAATAATACCAATAATGAAGTATTTTATGTTTGTAGGTATAAGTGGTTGAAAATTTCATTAAAAATACCCTAAATTATGATAATGTGCTGTTATCAACAACCACGGTCATGGCCTTAAAATTATTCTGTTATGTCTATAATGTGGTAGAACCAAAGTATTATATTATACGCTATGAATTATAATACGATATTTCTATAAAATGTCCGGTATTTTTTTTTGTTATCCTGTTAAGTTGTCAATTATCACACTCTCATATTATGGTTACGGTTTTTTAAACATATACCGTGTTTATGATGAATATATTATGGTAGTAGAATGTAGATAAACTTGAAGGTATTAAAAAAATGGTACAATTGTACAAGGGAACCATTATTAAGTGCAAAAAAAAAAAATGTAGGAAATCCGAGGATTTTTAGGTTGACTGGCATGCAAAACAAGGATTTTTATGTATTATGGCAGGATTTCAAGAACTTTTACTTGGCAACACTAGTTACAAATTTGGTTTTGTAACCTTGTGGATTCCTGATGGGAATAATATTTTAGGGATTTTAAGTGAATTCCATTTCTGTTTTTTCTAATCATTATAGAATCATTTAAGTTATATTTTAAAACCATTTTTAATTTTTTACCCCTACTCCATATACTTTAAATGAGTGCATACTTTTGTTTTTCAAATAGGAACCCCCAGAGGCGTAGCAAAAAAATGTTTTCTGAGCATGCCAGAAAAAATAATATAAATGTTTGAATAGGGAAAACTACCAATACACATTTTTGATTTTAAAATTGTGTTAATTTTCGAAGAAAAATGTGTGTGCCAGGGCCTACCCGCTGGTTACGCCACTGGGAATCCATCTATTTCAACACAGATTTGAATAGAGAATAATTTTTCTAGAAATTTGCATAATGACCAATTGCCTACTTATATATCACCCTTCTCTACTATATATTCCTTTTGGCGTAACATGTTATTCTATTTAAAATTGTTTTCATGACATTTTCTAGATATTCAAAAAGCTAATGTTAAGAAACTGTTGATTGAGTATGAATGTATGTTCCATTAACCCTTAAGCGGGTGCGTGCCTTTTTAACGTACGTAATTTTGTGGGGGTCTATCAGACTCCATTTATAAAAATGTCAAAAATATGTATAGAAAGTTAATTTTGTTTAAATTCAAAGAAATCAAATGATATTTAAATATGAATAGCAATTTAATAATAAAAATTTTCAAAACTATTATATTATTTGTATATTTTTTATAATATTTTATGGTTTATTTTTGACGGGGGTCAATTAGAACTTCGGGCTTAAGGATTTTTAGAATATCTTTTACAAAATTGCTATTTTATAAATTTTGAAAAGTGATAAAATTAAGTTATATTTTTTTCAATTGGGTTTTGTACAAGGGGGTTATACAAGTAGAGAATAATTACATTTTTATTTTCAACCTTAAATTATTGAAAAAAAAAAATAATAACTTGTACCGTCCACAAAACGACCATTTCCCGTTATCAAAGGACAAGTATACCTACAATCGATATTGTCGACGGATATGTTATGTCATCATGAGCAATAATTACCCCCCGCGCAAAGGTTTATGCGATCGCAATCTGTTGCAATTCGCATTCAATTCCTGACTGCGGGTTGACTGCCAATCATATCACGTTTCCCCTTATCGCCAAAAACGTCGGCCCGCGGCGACGTGTGCCACGAACGTCTCCGCGCTTCGCTAAATAGTTTTTGTTTTTTTTTTCATTTCCTTCTTCGTGTCTGGACATCGTCTCGAGACTTTGTCGCCACAGTTCTCTTAATAAAACACTCCCGTGTATTGCACGGATTCACATATTTTGCCGTCAAGAAAAGGTCGTGTACCTTGCCGCGTTCCATGGTGGCGCCTCAAACGAACCAATGAAGCTAGTCCCGATCTGGTCCGCTGGCCGGAACGAATGGTAATATGTTTGTGATTTAATAATTCTCCGATACCCCGTTAGTTGGTTAGTTTTTAAGGTAATCCAGTTAAGGTTCCCCGTATGAATATATTTATCTGAAATGTTTTCTTTTTCGTATGTAAAATCGTTCCGATATAGTTATGGGGATCAATCAGCCAGATGTCTGTGTCCGTCTCATTATACTAATCCCCGCGCTCCACATCCTATGTGCGATAGGCCAAACCCCCCGCATTTGGTTTTTTTATTTTCTATTCCCTTCAAGTGCTAGGTTTCGCAACCACGTGTGTGAGCATCTAAAAAAGGAATATATATATATTGATCAATCTTCCCCATTTCGCGATCCATACTCGGACGCACCCCGCAGGATCACCAAACCACGGACCAGTCAACATGGAATAAAAAGCGCTTCCGCTACTCTTCCCGGTGGTAATTTACGTGGCCTGGCAACCGCACATTATTGAAAACGCGTGTTTATTTATTTAAATTCTACTTTTTTCCTTTCCCCCCTCACAAAAATCCTAGGACTCCGGTCTTCGGACCTCGGTCCCAGGTTGGCTACCTTGCTTCTAGGCGGGTAGTCAGCTGGGCGCTTGGATCGGTTCTCAAACAAGGCCACTTTTAGGGATAACACTGTAGGATATCCTGTATACTAATTATTTTAATATCTATCTTCTGTATTATTTTCATTGTAATATATTGTACTATAATATTTATTGAAAATGAAACAAAGTAACATTTTATCTTAACCATCATCTCATTCTAAATATTTATTTACGCATTTAAATAATCATATTAATCATTTTGTTAAACTGTTAAAACATCAATAGTATTGAAAAGTCATTAGGGAACATGCACTCCTATTTTACTTTACCACTAATAAACACCCATGTCACATGATCAAATGTGTCTATATTATTAATAGTAATAGTCAAATTTATTCAAATAAAACTATGTTATAGATAATGTTATATTAAAAATATAAACATTATACATATTTAAATCAAGGTCAATAAATATAAATTGTTACATTTTTTTTTTTTTATTAAAATATGCGATAATAAATATACATACTCAAAATAAGACTGCATAACAAATTAAATACAAAATATATTTTATCTAGTCTACCTGATTAGTTGAAGGAAACCAGAAAAAATTATTTAGGTATAGATTATTTAATTATTTAAGACAGTTATTAGAAATTATCTGTATGATATCAAGTTAAATGTGATAAATGTGATATTAATATTTAATAGTATTCTTTGTTTACTAAACACAACTTGTACAATTATGAGTAATTAGTATTAAAATGATTAAATTAATGATGATTTTATAAAGATAAAAAAGGTAACATATATATATAAAAAAACAAATCAACAAATTTTGACTACTTCATTAGAATAGACAAGTATTATTAACTATTTTAATAATTTTTTAAACTCTGCTTTCAACACATCACCTTTTTCCCTTAGCATTTTTGATACTTAGTCAGCATGGATGATATTTTAAATTAATCATATATACTCAAATTAAAAATATTATCCATGGGGACTGAAATATCGGTCATTAGAAGAAGTGATCGATTGGTCTGAACTTGATGACTGCGATTTTCAATTTCATCCAATTTTAAAACAAGATGAAAATATTAACATTTTCTAGATTGGATCTAAAATAAGAAATTGAAACATTAACACATATTATTAATTTTTCTTCACAAATAACTTAACCATTAATTATTTCATCTTCATCATCTACATATACAAAATCAATGGCATCTGCAATTATAAATTAACACTATATTTTCTTATACATTAAGTAATTAAATTAAGAAATATTATTATATTTGTATACTTATATACATGGTAGAGCATGGTTGTGGTCCATGGTAAAATCAAATACTATAGATGTAGCAATAAGTAGGTAAATATTAAATGGTGCGATTTAAAATTAACTTACAAAACATAAAATAAAATAGTCATAGATATAATAATAAAATAAACCACGATAAATTAGTAGTTAACAGTAGTGACTAGTGGCCAAAAGATATGAACCTATCAAAATAATGATAAGAATGTAACATATACAAAATACAGATATACATTTAATTTCTATCGATATCCTACCTTCCGAACTTGTTACCTATACCAGTGTCTTCACCAGTCTTTATTATCTTACCTTATTTAAATGTTATATTGGTATAGATTATTCAATGATTCAAGACAGTTACTAGAAATTGTCTGTACGGTATTGTGACACAAGTTAAATGTTACAATATTTAGTAGTATTCTCACCATTCTATGTTCACTAAAAATAAAACTGGTACAATTATGAATGTTTAACATGAAAATGATTAAAGTAATGATAATTTTAAAAAGATAAAACAAGTTACATACCTACTCAAAAAAAAAAAAATAATAATATTAACAAATATATTTTGACTAGTTTATCTGGATAGAAAAGTATCGTCAAATTGCTGCTTCAACTCTGCTTTCAACACATTAGCTTTATTCCTTAGAATTTGTATACTTAAGTCAATTTGGATAATATCCTTAATTTACCATCTAAACTTTTCATATCATTATTAAGATCAGTAGTTGATCTGTGAACCAGTTCACACAGTTGTGCAAAAGTAGTAGATAGTTCCTACTGAACTTGATGACTGCAATTTTCTGATATTGGATTGTTTTTCATATTATTTGTTATATGGTGGACATATTGCTTATTAAGTTATCTTTCTTTTGATCATTTTTCCATTTTCTCATCAAATGAGAAAAGCCGAGAAATAACAATCTAT